ATGCTACAGCCATACGCTAAACTACGAGTATATTATCACCATGCTCCAGCCAGACGATAAACTACAAGGATATTATCATCATGCTACAGCCACACGCTAAACTACGAGAATATTATCACCATGCTCCAGCCAGACGATAAACTACAAGGATATTATCACCATGCTCCAGTCACACGCTAAACTACGAGAATATTATCACCATGCTCCAGCCAGACGATAAACTACAAGGATATTATCACCATGCTCCAGTCACACGCTAAACTACGAGAATATTATCACCATGCTCCAGTCACACGCTAAACTACGAGAATATTATCACCATGCTCCAGCCATACGCTAAACTACCAGGATATTATCATCATGCTCCAGTCACACGCTAAACTACGAGAATATTATCACCATGCTCCAGCCATACGCTAAACTACCAGGATATTATCATCATGCTCCAGTCACACGCTAAACTACGAGAATATTATCACCATGCTCCAGCCATACGCTAAACTACCAGGATATTATCATCATGCTCCAGTCACACGCTAAACTACAAGGATATTATCACCATGCTCCAGTCACACGCTAAACTACGAGAATATTATCACCATGCTCCAGCCAGACGCTAAACTACCAGGATATTATCACCATGCTCCAGTCACACGCTAAATTACGAGGATATTATCATCATGCTCCAGTCACACGCTAAATTACGAGGATATTATCATCATGCTCCAGTCACACGCTAAACTACGAGAATATTATCACCATGCTCCAGTCACACGCTAAACTACGAGGATATTATCATCATGCTCCAGCTAAACGCTAAACTACGAGTATATTATCATCATGCTCCAGCTAAACGCTAAACTACAAGAATATTATCATCATGCTTCATCCACACGATAAACTACAAGGATATTATCTCCATGCTCCAATCACACGCTAAACTACGAGAATATTATCATCATGCTCCAGTCACACGCTAAACTACGAGGATATTATCACCATGCTCCAGCTACACGCTAAACTACGAGTATATTATCATCATGCTCCAGCTAAACGCTAAACTACGAGGATATTATCATCATGCTCCAACCACACGATAAACTACAAGGATATTATCATCATGCTCCAGCTACACGCTAAACTGCGAGTATATTATCATCATGCTCCAACCACACGATAAACTACAAGGATATTATCATCATGCTCCAGCTACACGCTAAACTACGAGTATATTATCATCATGCTCCAGCTAAACGCTAAACTACAAGAATATTATCATCATTCTCCAGCCACACGCTAAAATATCAGGATATTATCATCATGCTCCAGCCACACGCTAAACTACGAGGATATTATCATCATGCTCCAGCCACACGCTAAACTACGAATATATTATCATCATGCTCCAGCTACACGCTAAACTACAAGAATATTATCATAAATAAACTACCAGGATATTAGAAATATTGCAGAAATAATATAGTATATCTTACTTATGGAACACACAACGCTTGTTGTTAACTTCAAGTACAGGCGTAGACGTAATGTTCGTTTTACAACTTACATCAGTATAACTTTACACCATTCTCCCTATCAACGTTTTGTGACCAATGAAAATCCATTAATTAAACGCTTGCGACATTGTATCAACGTTTTGTGACCAATGAAAATCCATTAATTAAACGCTTGCGACATTGTAACCTTAGAGGAGACTGGCGTTCGAGATAAATTATTACTAAACATGTTTACTGTTTAGACGTAGAGTCAGCAGAGCATACTAATAGTACATCTGAAACTAATGTTTATAAAGATACAAGATAAAATAAAATAAGAAAAGTAATCGTTGGCGGATTGGTAATAGATATAGCTTTAATCGTTGGCGGATTGGTAATAGACATAGCTTTAATCGCTGGCGGATTGGTAATAGATATAGCTTTAATCCCTGGCGGATTGGTAATAGATATAGCTTTAATCGTTGGAGTATTGGTAATAGATATAACTTTAATCGTTAGCGGATTGGTAATAGATATAGCTTTAATCGTTGGCGGATTGTGTGGGTGTTTCATAAAAAAAAGAAGAGGACATATGAAATAATGAAATTTGTGTCCATATAAACTTCTTGGATTTAAACTTTAACCTAATCAAAGTCTGACAGATTGGCTGTGTTGTTTTCCAGCTAATAGGTAGCTGTAATGGAAGGAGAAAAACCCCAATTTTAATTATATTTATATGGTATTCATGACCATGTACTGTTTTATAACGTGCTGTAATAATGTTAGTACAGTCTGCCACAACACCCCAACTCCATGTGTAACATATATTCATTCTCCAACTCTATGTGTAACATTTATTCATTCTCCAACTCTATGTGTAACATATATTCATTCTCCAACTCTGTATGTAACATTTATTCATTCTCCAACTCTATGTGTAACATTTATTCTATTCTCCAACTCTGTATGTAACATTTATTCATTCTCCAACTCTATGTGTAACAT